GAATCACATGTTTATGATGAATATATATGTTACAACATTCATGTATATTCCTTAGGGGTGCTCAGGGGTTGGGTTGAAAACATTTAAACAACTCAACTCAATGTTTGCGGTTTGAAAAATTTTAACCAACCCAACCTAAACGAATCAACAATGTCCTTAGCCACGAAATCGTCTCCTTCGGCTTTCATTCATTCTCTATGCTCCTCGAGTACATGTTCATGGAAGTTATCGAGTCTCTTCCGCAATGCCTTCATCCTCTTCGCATACCGATGCAAATCCATAAACTGCATCCAAGGGTTCCAATCCCCAATATTCAACACGAAAAACTCCTCAACATCTCTTGAAACTCCACAAGTGTCACAATCTCCTTCTCTTTCAATTCACTAAAGTACTTACGACCCAATACCATCCTACAAATCATGCTTTGTGTTGAACGGGAAAGATGCACTTTTAGCATGATGGGTTCTCTTGACAACGTGTGCGATCGACAAGAGCAAAATTTTCCTTTCTTCAACACGAATGTACTCAAAGAATCTAAGGTGTTTTCGTGCTAAAAAGCTCGTTAAAGTATATTTTTCCTAGCTTGGATCCAATAAGGCCCATATGGCGCAAATCGTACACTACGACCATTATAAAGATTAAGCTTCCCGGCCGCAGTTGATGGCCGAGAAGCGAAAATACGGTCATGGGTCCTTAAGAACAGCTTTGCCATCTCTGGAGACGATGCAACGACAACTGGGGTCGAACCGAATTTAAGGAACGTTAGTTTGCCGTAGGTTTGGGATAGTTTATGAAGAGATTGATGAGGGAGAGGGCCAATTAGGTTAAACTTGCCGATAAGAGGACACGGTGGAAGATTGTCACTTTGGTTTTTGGTTTTTCCTTTGGATTACTGTTTTATTTGTTTACATCATTTGATTGTTTAAAATTTTGGTTTGCATGAACAAGGATGTGACGTAAAATTATATCTTTTAAATGAAATTAACGTGTGATGGTTTTGGTCGGGGTTGAATTGGTCTCTGTATACACACACACACATATATATATATATATAATATATATATATATATAATATATATATATATATATATATATATATATATGATTGGATGTTCCTGACAAGGAGAATTAGGTGAAAAGCGTAAAAAGAGATATTCATTCTTGAATGTACATTAGGATGAGATGCACTGAGATACACCGGATCAATCTTCATATTAAGCGCGATTCATGAGTGAGTTTGAGATTAAAGGTGATCAAAAGTCCAGATCCCTTCTTACGCTCCTCACCTTAACTCTACTTCTCACACGATTCTTCATATATATATATATATATATATATATATATATATATATAGAGACAAACATATATAGATACATAGATAGGTGAAGGATCGTATGAGAAGGGAAGTTTTATGGTGAGAAGTGTAAGAAAAGATCTGAACCCTTAATCACTTTTAATCTCATACTCACACATGAATTACGTTTTAGAAGACAATTGATCCGGTACATCTCGATGCACCTCATTAGTGTAATTGACATTCAATCAAGATTGATCAAAGGATGTAGATCTCTTCTTACGCTTCTCATCATTACTTCCCTTCTCAATATCGGAACTCATCCCTATATATATATACTAGTTGATGTACTCGTGGGATGCAGCAGGGTATAATATTTTGTTGTAAAAAACGTAAAGTTTAAAATGATTCTTGTTTAGTTCGTGGCATTTTAGAATATGGCTTGGACCCTTTCCGTGCCTTTGAGAAAAGATTCCCGCACTCTTTCGTCTAAAGAGATGTTTAACCATGGCAATTCCTTTGAGAAAATGAACCGAACAAAAAGATGCATTATTGACATTTTAGATCATCTTTAACAAATTCTCTTAAATTTCTTTAAAATGGAGAATCAAAATTCAAAATCCCTAATAATTTAACTACAACAGATTCTTTATAATTGAATGTCAACACTAATGAAGTATATCGAAATGCACCAGATTAGTTTTCTTCTAAAGTATAACTCATTTGTAGGCATGAGATTAAAATAATCAATAGTTAAAATCTCTTCTTACGTTTCTCATCATAATTTTAAATCTCGTCTTTAAGACCAAAGAGATATTGGATTCAATAAAAATTACTAATTACATGCTTCTTGTTCCTTCAATCAACCGGAGAGAGACTCGCCGTCGGTAAATATGACGGGCATTTCTCCGGCACGGTCGATTTTCCGTTGTCTGTTGGTTCACAAAACTCCCAACACAGGACCGTGACATGTCAGTTGCCACGTCTTCTATTTCTTTGCCACGTGTGTCATTGTGCTGTCCACGACGTGGACTTCCATGTGTACCGGCTGCGACTTTAAGCAGCTACGCGACAAGAATCTTCCACGTCAGCCAACGATGATTGCTTACACAGTCTGTTGCCGTCGCATTAACTTCTCTTGTTCCCAACCACGTGCATATAGGTCCCACTGCTTAGTAAACTCAGCTTCGAAATTCTACTTAGCCACCTCATTGTTTTAGCTATGTACATTCCAGTCCTCATAAAATCGAATTTAATTTAGTTTTAGTCCTTCTCTTTTTATAGAGAAAAAGCACATTTTGTCCATGTTTCACACCTATAAACCAACTTATAAGATAACTATTTCTATATTTATTGAAATAAAATCTGTCTAAAAGGCCATAAATTAGCTTCTTTTTAAAGCTACTTCACACATGTACACGTGAACTGGATGAGAAAACAGGTTACGACTTACATTTAATTTTAAAATCCCTGTAGTCGTTCGTAAACGATACAAAGGGTTCATACCTACAAACGGTAACAAGTGTATTAACACATACATATAGTTCACGTTGATATCTTAATGTTCCAAGAAACAAGACAAAAACCTGAAAAACAAAACGAAATTTCCTTCCTCGTGTAGTTGTCCCCTCAAAACTTACATGTAGATAAATAAGTAGGATGATTAGGACCAAGAGACATGTACATGTGAGAAAACCAATTGTCTTAAGCTTTGAAGAATTAACCAATTGTCTCAAAATCAGTTACCCCACATGTCTTATATTATATAAACAAATTATTTCATACGTTTTCAGCCAACCATGATGTAAACGATCGATGAATATAGATGTTTAAGTATGAAACGACACTTTTTGAGACATGTGGGGTGTTTGTATACCAACTTGAACATATGGCATTCTTTATAAGGAGGAAAAGTTTGTGTATGTTTTAATCAAGATTCTACGTTCAAGTAAGATAAACGAGTATCCCTTATCTGATTTGATTTTCTATAATCAAATTCTATATATATTTTGTAAGAAAAAAAAGTATTTCCCAAAATATTTTGATTGGGATTTGGATAGTTTCTTGTCACATGACCATACACTCTTTAGAGCCATGAGATTTGATTTGATTCATCACAAAAATAGGAGGAAATTGGGTACATAATAAAACAACACAAATTTTATCAAGAAAATGGGTATGTTACATGAAAATGGTCAATCAAAAAGGCTCAACTTTGGCACATCAATTAGACAAGTGAAAGATTGCTCAATATTTGCTATGATTGCACAAAGAGGGAAGTGATACACATATGCATTTGACATAAAGACCCATTTTTAGCACTAGAAAGACAAAACCCACATCAAAGTACAAGTGTATATGCATAAGTTACAAACAACTATAGCATATTGGTTTGAAATTCAAGATTTAGAGGTAAGAGGGATATTGGGAGGTCTCCTCGAAAGGGATATCATACCCTAAAAGGCTAAGGAAGGTGATTAGATTGCCTTGGAAAGATGAGTACACAAAGTTCTCTCTTTTTTCCTTCTATTTCCAACCATTTGTCTTGTTCACAAAGAGAGATCAGTTTCAAGAAAAAGGAAACCAAGCTTTTTAGTGTGGACATTTGTGTCCCCCTACCTCCACAATCACCTTTTCAATCAAACTCCAACTTGTTATAATATCTAACTTTGATATTATTTTAAATCAATTGTTTCCTTGTTTATTGTAATATTTGTAATAAAGTTATATAAATATTGGAGACCTAAAACCAAACAGATTCCTATATAGCTAAGAAAACTAAACGTACGATTTTTTAAATAGGCTGGGATCTAGTCAAGCCAGTCGATTCGTCTCTGTGTTGAACGAATCAGCACAGTCGAACATGAAGAGATGAGGATAAATGAATCAACTTGCTTGTTCGCTTGTTTGATGATTGTATATTCACATTGCGTTTCTTTAATTAGATTATTCGCTTAGTTGATGCTCTAGACCGCTTGAACTTGTTTATAGCTCGGATGATTAAAGCAAAACTTATAACATATATATAAACTTGATTCCCCTTGAACTTATGATACACACAACATGTGGCTAGGGCCGATCCTAACTATATCTCATTTAAAAGGCGGGGTTTGAAGGTAAAATACACTAGACATATTCTCTACATAAAAGCCTCACTATTATATAATTTGGGAGTTCAAATAAAAGTAAGTAGTTATTTACAATGATAATAGTAAGAAAATGATTCGCTTTTATTTAGAGGGTGTTTGAGATTGCTTATAAAAACAATTTATTGACTTATTCAGGTATGACACCGATAATAAGCACTTTTGAGTGTTTGGATAAACAACTTATACCAGTAATAAGAAGTTTTTGAAGAAGTTAAACATTTCTGACTTATAATAAGTTGATAAATTAATGCCTTTATAGAAAAACATAAGTTGTTTCAAATAAACAAATCCCAAACACCCCTTTAGAAAAAGAAACAATCTAGAAAGAAAATATTGTAACATTCAAATATTTGAAATTTATTTATATAAGGGTTTTGAAGTATGATGCTTTAATTGGTAATATGGTGCTTGTAAAAAAAATTAAAAATTGATAACCTTTTAAAGGAATTAAAAAAGAACATGATAATACCTTATTGGTCATCAACTTATATTGTGGGTCCCAAACCTTATTTATGTGTATATATAGGGCTTCCATATCCACCTTAATTTGCATCATTTCCTCTTTCATTTACTTCACAAGCTTATAATATTGATTTTGAAGACCAAATGAAGCCTTCTTTCATGCTCATTCTCTTACTTCTCTCCATTTTTGTTTATCAACCTCAAGGTATCTTCAAGTCCATACATATATGCATATACACCTATATATATATACACACACATACTACATACATACATACATACATACATACACACACATATACATATCTTTCATGCATTCATCTTAATGCACTGGTCTGTATAGGTTGAACAATGTCTAGCTAGGTGGGAGTGTTAATTAACTACTAAGATGTCGTTTGGGAAAGCTCTAGTTTGTTGTTTATTAGGTTTTGGTATTAATTAGGGTTTAGACAAACAGGAAAAACGGTTTACGAAAATGGTTTCTTGGAAAAATAGCGACTATTCAATTCCTTTAGACTTAAAGGACCATTTACCAAACCTTTATCTGGTATATGCTTACGGGCAAAAATTATCACCTTCACTTACCTTATCGGATAACATTCTCAATCATTAAAATGAATTATGTAGAATGACTTTTACCTGGCAAGCCCTTACCAGGTAAGAATCTTTCCCTTCATTTACCGGATAAGATTTTCGGTCTTTGTCATATCTTATCAAGTAAAACTATTGGTCCATTCCATGCTCATCACCGATAAGGTAAGAGACAACACCCATAAAACTTTCACCCAGTAAGAGTTTAGTAAACGCCCCTTAGACTCAACGTTGAACAAATTCCAACAATAACATGTACATATGAGAAATATCCATATATGCGTATCGATTTTGATGAAGTTGGAACATTTGACTTTTAGAAGATTAAACTCTAGCGATAATCCGGGTATACATGATGATGAACACATACATATATGTTATCATGCTCAAACGTTCATGTATGTATATCATATGCAAATGATTCGTTAGCAAGTGATCCGACATGCATATGCATATGTTCTTATCTAATTGTATGTACGTATTGTATTGATATTACGAAGGTATAAGGCTGGAAAAATGGAGTCCATCAGCTAGCAACCATCAAGAATTCATCACCAAGGTTGGTATATATAGATCTCCTCATGATTTTATGCTCAGAACATGACATCTTACCGACTTGACTTCTGATTCGTTTCTTGATTATTGCAGAGTTCATCAAGCATCAATGGAGAAAAAGGGTTAACCATGGCTACTGATCAGGTTTCACCTGCAGGTACCATGATCATAAGGAAGAGAAGATTAAGTTCTCATGGCCACTGGTTACCAAAGATTCATGAAGATTACTATGGTCCCAGATATCACCTACCTAGACACCATTAATGAATGAAACCCTAACTAGCTGGCTGGCCTAGATATAACACTTATATACTATTTGGCTTATGTTTCAAATCATCTACGAGCATACCCATTAGGTTTTATATGCTCCTGGGTTCAATCTTACATATAAACAGAATTAATAGAAGAAAGTTTTTGTGTAAAATCTGATCATTTCGAGTTCCATCAAAGAGTTCAAACCCTAATTCACATGTGAATGAACCCCAAAAAAGACTCCAAAAACTGTCTCCAATGAATGAATGTTTTTGTCGATTTATATATATATTGTTTTTGTTTTATTTTCTCAATTTGTTTTATTTTCTTGTTTATTTTATTTGCAGGAATAAATAGAAAACTTATGACAAAAACTATAGCTTCAAGTTCTACCACCACCAATTATAACAAGGTTAGTTTATTTTTTAATTTGGAAAATACAAAAATTAAGGAAATAAAAGATTTCTTGAATTTAATCCGATATAAATTTACTCGTCGTGTACAGACTTACAAGATTCATGACCCGAAATCCGACGTAAAGTTTACTCATGGGCAAGTAGAAAATGAAGAGGTTTTCTCGACAACGTCTACACCTGAAAATTCAAAACACAGGAACACACAGATTGTCTCGGAACAGTATTTGGATGTTATAGACATAACGGGAATGGATTATTCTCCGGCCAAGAGAAAACCACCGATACACAATTGAAGATCCAAAATTGCAATTTAACATCAATAAAAACATATATATAGTGATTGAATCATGCATGTAGGTGATCATAAACAAGTTTAACCACTTAAAACTATTCCATAAATGTTTTAGGTTTGTTGTAGTTGAAATATTTGTAGATGGTAGTATGTTTTAAGGGAACTTTTATTAATATTTTGATGATATTGTAATATGAATCAATATATACAACATATAGTGAAATGAATTACAATAAAAATCACATTTTTCTTTATAACGTTTAACGATCATATCTAGAAATCAGTAAATTAGATACGAAACTGTTCAATAAGTGGAACGTATTAGCTGTCTGCTGTCAGGTTGGGCAACCTATGCATTCTGTTATCATTTTCAATTGGACGATCCATTAATCCAATTAGTAGAAGACTATAAATGGATCAATTTGCTACCATGATTTAAGTTGGAGTCAAAGTCATTTAAATAGTCTGTTGCGTTGGTTCGTTGGTCAAAAGTACAATTGATATGCTTAAATTGTCGGAAACACAAAAAGATGACTTAGAATTATAACTTTAATTAAGTACCATACTTATGAGTTGCTTAAGCAATTATCAACGTTGTATTCGTAAATGAATAAAGACCCAACTAGGTCCTTCAAAGCCGATCTCGTTAACCGTTCTATTAAGACAATTATGAGCATCCTAAGAAATCAATTTTATCGTAGTGGGAATGATCGATAGATAACCCTTAAATCCTATCTAATTTCTAAAACTTTTGGCCAGACTTTTATGCATCTAATTGGCATACTCGAGACATGAAAATATATCCAAAAAATAGTAATGAACTGTTTTTTTATTAACCTGGATATTCAACCCACTATACAAGCTAACTAATCCCAAGGCGACCACCTGCTTTGCAGATAACCCGGAGTCACCGTATTTGAACATCCGTGGCCGTAAGTGGATTTTTATTCCTCCTTGGATTTGAACTTTAGACCTCCTAATATTTTTGACCTTTGGAACCAAGCTCAAACCAATCAGACACCACCCTTATAATTTATAATTAACTGTTTTTAAGATTTGAGGAGATCACAAATTGAATGTGGTTGGTATTGAATGTATTATATCATCTGAAAATTGAATTTAATGCATGGGATATTGGCCTACAGAGTTAAATTTAGACACAAGGTCATCCCACCCACCCTTCCGTGGTGGCCGCCGGCGACCTAACAACATGTGGGCTCAGCCGGCCCTAGTTTTGCCTGCCACAAAATAAATTTGAAATTCTTTAAGAACATAAAATCAATAAATAACGGTATACTCGTATTAATATTAGAATAGTACTCGTGCAATGCAACGAGATATATTTTGATTTTATTTTTTATCTCAGCCGATGTTAATATGGTCTTATGTGTATTTGAAAAAACGATGATGTTTTTATTTTTGAATAAAGTATAAATTTGACAAAAATATATCGATATTAGTATCAAATCAACTATTTAAAATTTCTTATTTTTTATGTAATTTTTAATTCAATTTTTTATTATAATTTAATTTAGGTTCAATAACGAAGTAATTTATATTTGGTTTAATAATATAATTTTCTTATAAAGATAATAATTAATTATTTTGTTATAACTTGATGATTATCCTAATTATATTTTAGATTTTTTATATTTTAAAATGAAATGTTTATCCTCTATTTGATTGTGTTTATCCTCTGAGTATACGTGGAATCATACAAGGGTAGATTATAAACTCTAGTAAAATGATCATTCGTAACCCAAAAGAAAAAAAGTAAATTGCATAGCATTATGTAATAGAGATTGACGACTTACCCAATTCAGTGATTTTGACACTCAATATTCCCCAAGCACGTACTGTTCGATCAAATGAATTCAATAATAGACGTCTATTGACAAACCTAAAATTGAGAGATTTGAACCGACAAGCCGAATTGGGTTTTCTTTTTCTAATTTTATTGAAAACTGATACATACATTTCAGTTTACTGACTTCTATATTATGGAAAATTAAAATTTTGATTTAATTTAGTCAAAATTTGTTGTAATGGATATATGAAATTTTAGTTTTTTCATGAAATAACGTCGCCTCTATATTTTTTTAAATCTAGATATACGTTATGTGTCTCTTACGGGTCTTTATTCATGCTTATTTTGTTTCTTAAACCGGTGAATTTACACTAGTAGTCCTTCAACTATCATTTACATGCATAATAACCCCATTTGACGACTAATAAAATTTTGATAGGTTGGATCATGAACGAGTCACGTTTTCAAATTTATTAATTATGACATTGCCCCATCCTATTTCCCTCGTATTCGTCTAGCTTCAATCAACCCACCCTAAAAAGCTCAAAGACTTTCTCTGATTCAACCAATTGGATTCACTAGAATATAACAAGTAATGAAATAAATGAATGTATTGGGAATATATATATATATATATATATAGAGAGAGAGAGAGAGAGAGAGAACAAACCGCTTGTTAGGTACCATTCTTGCTTGAACTAAAAGACAAGATCTGGTTCTTAAGGACCAGTCCGGTTATTAGTTTAAATACTAGGACATATCTAAGTTTGACGTTCCTAACTGGTCTCGGGGGACCTGGCTAAACATGAGTTTGTTATGTTTTCATATAAAGAAGTCATCATTAATTTTGTATTTCCAATTTTATTAATCATGATATGCATCCGTGTTAGTCTAGCCATGAATAAACCCATCTTAGACATGCATATGGATCTGTCTACCGCACAATTAGGAAAAAGTTCAATCATTTGAAGAATCGATCTAGTTATCGGTCTGAAGTTGTAACCAATCCGAGCCTCTTGGTCATGGACTGATCTTGACCGGACATAATTTTGTTTTGTTTTTTCATATACAAAAGTCTAACATTTGAAATCATACAATGATGGCATGCCCCCATCCTACTCCCCCTTATTCGTCTAGCCTTGAATCGACCCACCTTAGAAATGCACAAAAATAGGTTATAACTGGGCGTTTTGTCTGGGTCCTCCAATAATAGAAGCATGAGCCTTGAAGGACTGGTCTAAAAACTAGTACTATAACATCTCAGGCTAACCGTATCAGATATTGTCTACTTTGTTCATACTTAGACTCACAGTTTTAGAACGCGTCTGATAGAGAAGGCATCACGTCCCTTAAAGGCAACATGTGTTCTCTTTCCAACCAATGTGGATCTTACTCTAACTCTTTCTGGATCAATTATTTTGAGCTCACTTGAAAAGATATGCACTCTTATCAGAACAACGTGTACTTAATCTGTGTTGACAACTCCTAAGATTCTTAATTCTAACATCACGCACCTTCGTCGAATCAACCAAACTTAGCAAGACACCATATTTTGTTTCAAAATGGAAGTTATAGTCATGGGAACAACCATCTCAACAAATTGGTTGATCCAAAAATGAATACATTTAGCGAATACTAGCTTCCCATTCAATGCATGGTTCCCTTTGTAACTTATTTTGGTCGATTTGTGTTTAATCAATCATGTCTTATCTTACCTTCGACTCCACGTAACAGTTGATGTTTATTGTGGTCATCGTCTTTGATTTTTGCTTTTCATAAATTTATTCTTTAATTTTGGACCACCACTATTCCAAAAGAGTTGTCAATGTCTCAGGTACGTGTCATCTTTAACACCCCTAAATGCCTCGGTTTGTGAATTAAATAGTATTATATTATTTTAATGTCGATTTTAATATATTATATAATAAGATTAAACCACACAAAAAAAAATTATACAACGATGATGTAGCAAAAATGTAGGTATCCAATATATATATATATATATATATGTAATGATTTGGAGCACTTCAACTCTTATATTTTATGTTGTATATTTACAGTTTATTTAATTTTTTAGTTTTGAGAGGAGTAAATTGCATGAAAAAGTAACATACTTTAACTTGATTTTTATTTTGAGTAACGTACTTTCAAAACATTCATTTTGATACTTAAGATATATAAAGTTTTAAACATTTAAGTACTCGGGTAACCGGTCGAATACCAATTTTAGAATATAAAAATTCATCGTCAACAAATAATACTGAGTTGAATAGCACATCACTCGTCACATCAGCATTATAACCGGTTAATGCTTCAACTAGTTACTCGGGTACTCAAATGTTTTAAACTTTATATTTTAGGTACCAAAATGGAAATTTTGAAAATACGTTACCTAAAATAGGAATCAAGTTAATGTACGTTACTTTTTCATGTAATTTACCCTTTTGAGAAAACTTGAACATGACTTCATTTGTATTAACTTCATTCAAAAATATTGATTTCAAAGCAAAACTTTGAATCCTAATGCATATTTTATACTTTTTTTAAAAGACATTTAAAAGTTAAAAATAAGATGCTTTAATTTAAAATGTGTTCTCTTATTTAATTCAACATGGAAAAGTAACTATATCAATATGAACATATTTAAATATAAAGACAGAAGGGATCAAGCAAGAAGTTGATCAATATACGAGAATGTGAAAAGATAAGATCGTATATGATTACATGTGACACGTACACTTAATCATATATGATAAAACACATCTAAAAAGGACGCAAACAACTTGGTGAATGCGACGAAGGTTGCGGGGAAGGTTGCTTGTTATGTGTCGTTCAACGCAACATGCGTTTAATCATATATAATTAAGTGTGTATATCACTATAATCATATATGATCTTGAAATTTCGCACTTTCTCATTTGAACCTGACCATATATATACACATATATACATATATAGGGGTTATTCAAGGGAGAACTCAATTGTTTGTGGTAACTGTGAGATCCAATCTCAACTACAAATCAATGGATAGATTAGAAAATTAGTAATTTTGGTAATTTGAATTGCAATTATAATTAGAGTACATTTTAGATATTTTTAAAGACTCCTCTCTCTGACCTCCGACCTCGGATCTCTAGCCTCCGATGATATTATTCCAACCGGTATCAAGATCATAAAGATACATAATGCGAATACCAAGTAATCACAAAGATACACAATGTGATACACATTATGATATCAATGTGATACTATTGTGATACCAACTATAATACCAATCCAAACCTTAAAAACAAAATCAAACCCATAATCTAAATTTAATCGATGACCTTAAAGATATACAATGTGATACCCATTGAGATACCATTATGATATCATTGTCATACTAACTATGATACCAACCCAAACCCTAAAATC